CAGTTGCACAGCAGCTGCGCCTTCACTCACAGTTGCACAGCAGCTGCGCCTTCACTCACAGTTGCACAGCAGCTGCGCCTTCACTCACAGTTGCACAGCAGCTGCGCCTTCACTCACAGTTGCACAGCAGCTGCGCCTTCACTCACAGTTGCACAGCAGCTGCGCCTTCACTCACAGTTGCACAGCAGCTGCGCCTTCACTCACAGTTGCACAGCAGCTGCGCCTTCACTCACAGTTGCACAGCAGCTGCGCCTTCACTCACAGTTGCACAGCAGCTGCGCCTTCACTCACAGTTGCACAGCAGCTGCGCCTTCACTCACAGTTGCACAGCAGCTGCGCCTTCACTCACAGTTGCACAGCAGCTGCGCCTTCACTCACAGTTGCACAGCAGCTGCGCCTTCACTCACAGTTGCACAGCAGCTGCGCCTTCACTCACAGTTGCACAGCAGCTGCGCCTTCACTCACAGTTGCACAGCAGCTGCGCCTTCACTCACAGTTGCACAGCAGCTGCGCCTTCACTCACAGTTGCACAGCAGCTGCGCCTTCACTCACAGTTGCACAGCAGCTGCGCCTTCACTCACAGTTGCACAGCAGCTGCGCCTTCACTCACAGTTGCACAGCAGCTGCGCCTTCACTCACAGTTGCACAGCAGCTGCGCCTTCACTCACAGTTGCACAGCAGCTGCGCCTTCACTCACAGTTGCACAGCAGCTGCACCTTCACTCACAGTTGCACAGCAGCTGCGCCTTCACTCACAGTTGCACAGCAGCTGCGCCTTCACTCACAGTTGCACAGCAGCTGCGCCTTCACTCACAGTTGCACAGCAGCTGCGCCTTCACTCACAGTTGCACAGCAGCTGCGCCTTCACTCACAGTTGCACAGCAGCTGCGCCTTCACTCACAGTTGCACAGCAGCTGCGCCTTCACTCACAGTTGCACAGCAGCTGCGCCTTCACTCACAGTTGCACAGCAGCTGCGCCTTCACTCACAGTTGCACAGCAGCTGCGCCTTCACTCACAGCAGCTGCGCCTTCACTCACAGCAGCTGCGCCTTCACTCACAGTTGCACAGCAGCTGCGCCTTCACTCACAGTTGCACAGCAGCTGCGCCTTCACTCACAGTTGCACAGCAGCTGCGCCTTCACTCACAGTTGCACAGCAGCTGCGCCTTCACTCACAGCAGCTGCGCCTTCACTCACAGCAGCTGCGCCTTCACTCACAGTTGCACAGCAGCTGCGCCTTCACTCACAGTTGCACAGCAGCTGCGCCTTCACTCACAGTTGCACAGCAGCTGCGCCTTCACTCACAGTTGCACAGCAGCTGCGCCTTCACTCACAGTTGCACAGCAGCTGCGCCTTCACTCACAGTTGCACAGCAGCTGCGCCTTCACTCACAGTTGCACAGCAGCTGCGCCTTCACTCACAGTTGCACAGCAGCTGCGCCTTCACTCACAGTTGCACAGCAGCTGCGCCTTCACTCACAGTTGCACAGCAGCTGCGCCTTCACTCACAGTTGCACAGCAGCTGCACCTTCACTCACAGTTGCACAGCAGCTGCGCCTTCACTCACAGTTGCACAGCAGCTGCGCCTTCACTCACAGTTGCACAGCAGCTGCGCCTTCACTCACAGTTGCACAGCAGCTGCGCCTTCAGTCACAGTTGCACAGCAGCTGCGCCTTCACTCACAGTTGCACAGCAGCTGCGCCTTCACTCACAGTTGCACAGCAGCTGCGCCTTCACTCACAGTTGCACAGCAGCTGCACCTTCACTCACAGTTGCACAGCAGCTGCGCCTTCACTCACAGTTGCACAGCAGCTGCGCCTTCACTCACAGTTGCACAGCAGCTGCGCCTTCACTCACAGTTGCACAGCAGCTGCGCCTTCACTCACAGTTGCACAGCATCTGCGCCTTCACTCACAGTTGCACAGCAGCTGCGCCTTCACTCACAGTTGCACAGCAGCTGCGCCTTCACTCACAGTTGCACAGCAGCTGCGCCTTCACTCACAGTTGCACAGCAGCTGCGCCTTCACTCACAGTTGCACAGCAGCTGCGCCTTCACTCACAGTTGCACAGCAGCTGCGCCTTCACTCACAGTTGCACAGCAGCTGCGCCTTCACTCACAGTTGCACAGCAGCTGCGCCTTCACTCACAGTTGCACAGCAGCTGCGCCTTCACTCACAGTTGCACAGCAGCTGCGCCTTCACTCACAGTTGCACAGCAGCTGCGCCTTCACTCACAGTTGCACAGCAGCTGCGCCTTCACTCACAGTTGCACAGCAGCTGCGCCTTCACTCACAGTTGCACAGCAGCTGCGCCTTCACTCACAGTTGCACAGCAGCTGCGCCTTCACTCACAGTTGCACAGCAGCTGCGCCTTGACGAGGTCCTCAAAGAGCGACGGCGACCGGAAGAGCCGCCCGAAGCCCGCAGCAGCGGCGGCGGGATGGCGGCGGTGGAAGGCTTGCAGGGCGGCCTGGCAGGCTGGGGACAGCCGCAGCATGCGCTGCACCTGCGCCTGCAGGGGTGGTGAGAAGGGGGGGGAGAGGCGGGAAGGCGGTGGGGCATGGGGCGTACGTGAGAGTGGAGGCGAGAAGCGTAGGGAGGATAGAGCGGGGGAAGCTGAGAGGCAGCCCACATGTGAGGGGCGGATCTAGTAAGGGGCGGATCTAGTGAGGGGCGGATCTAGTGTGGGGCGGATCTAGTGTGGGGCGGATCTAGTGTGGGGCGGATCTAGTGAGGGGCGGATCTAGTGTGGGGCGGATCTAGTGTGGGGCGGATCTAGTGTGGGGCGGATCTAGTGAGGGGCGGATCTAGTGTGGGGCGGATCTAGTGTGGGGCGGATCTAGTGTGGGGCGGATCTAGTGAGGGGCGGATCTAGTGTGGGGCGGATCTAGTGTGGGGCGGATCTAGTGTGGGGCGGATCTAGTGTGGGGCGGATCTAGTGTGGGGCGGATCTAGTGAGGGGCGGATCTAGTGTGGGGCGGATCTAGTGTGGGGCGGATCTAGTGTGGGGCGGATCTAGTGTGGGGCGGATCTAGTGTGGGGCGGATCTAGTGTGGGGCGGATCTAGTGTGGGGCGGATCTAGTGTGGGGCGGATCTAGTGTGGGGCGGATCTAGTGTGGGAGTGGTTAGTGTGGTGGACGAGAGGTGAGGGCGGACGAGGATGGCAAGGCGTGGTGGAGCAGAGGGGGGCAAGGAGGGTGAGGGCAGCAGTGAGCAGCAACGGAGGAGGGATGACAAGGGGTGGTTGGCAGGTGGGCAGGCGAGGCTTGGATGGAGGCAGCAAGGGCTCACGAGCAGGTGTGTGTGGTCCGCTGCAGTGATGGCCGCCACCCCCATCACCCTCACTCGCAACCATGTCCCTTGCGCCACCGCCACACTCGTACCACTGCCAGGTACAGCATCAGCAGCAGCATCACCAGTGGCGCTACTGATGACAGTGGGGGCATCCCTATCGCACAGAGCGTCAGCAGGCTCCTCTTTCAGGCCTGCGGCGCCATGCTGTGTGACGTCAGCAGCGCCATGCTGTGTGAGTCGCACCATCACCGCTCGCCCATCAGCCAGCCTCAGCGGCCGCCCCATCGCTCCCCATGCATTCCCACGCTTCCCTATCTCCTCCCCCTCATGCCGCCCATCCCCCGCCTCCCCCCTGTCTCCTTCCGCGCTCCCTTGTTCTTCCTCCGCCTCCTCTGTCTCCCATTTCACTCCCAGCCCATCTTGTGCCGTTGATTCACTGCCACGTGGCGGGATCCAGACGGTCGGAGCCATCATGAAGAATCCGTAGCTGCAAACGGCGGCGGGGAGGGAGAACCCATCAGGCAGCGCCACGCAGAGACAGACAGACGGACCAGATTCAGCGAGCAACAGTGACGATTGCCGGCCGTCCGTGCCTTGACTGTTGGGAGAGGCAGCGCGGGGTTCCATGATGCGGGGCAGCGGGGCGCGCGCGAGGCTTCGAGCGGACCGGCGCGAGTGGGTGCGCGTGGAGCACGCGCTGCGAGGCAGCGCGCTCACACTCTCACAGAAATGGACGAGCTTTGGTGGCGCTCAGCGGCTTTTGCAGTCCGACGCGGAGGCTTTCCTTCGGACAGACGAGTCGGTGCGCGTGACCCGCTTCAAGGTTGCTTCGACGATTCCTATGCGGAATCTACGCCAGTTCTTACTTTGCAGTGTACCGGATGGTATACTTATCAGCGACCTGTAATGCACTCAAGTCGGAAAACACAGAATGTAGTACAGTAACCCACCGAACGAGAAGTAACGAGGATAAAGGAGGTGGAACCGAGCTAGGCGAGGAAGTGATAGAATAGGTTCGGAAGAGAGCCGAAAGGTGCGGTGGCATCTTGAGAGTGGTTCGGGGCGAAAATGTAGGCCGAACCAGCTGCTCCAGCGACTCGGCACGAATTCGCTAAAGTGCGTCTACAAAGTACATTTCTTTGCACCATGCAATCAACACAAACTAAACACATGATTAATACCGATATGCACAGCTCGTGGATCATTTTCACTTTTCGCACCAGTCAAAACCTAGATGTGACCTGGACAAATTCTACAGTGATTTGAGTGTGTTCAATGGGACGAGGGACGGCTTTCACAACGAGAGTTGGAAGGGAGCGCATGGTTGCTTGAATGGGTGTTGTGACTGCATTGATGGCCGTGTTGTGGGAGTGTTGTTGCTTGATCAACACCGGTTCCGGCAACAAATGGAGGGACCTCGCACAAAAATAAGATTGCAAGTTGCTGTCGTTGAAGGAGGTCTTCGATTTTACTCAGGTGCTCTCAGGGGCTTTCGTTTAGGTGCTCTCATCAGGGCGGCATCAGGTGTCAGTGTGTGTCATCTCAGCTGCTGTATGCCGGAAGCTAGCGCTGCTACTATGAACATGGTGGGCTGCCCATGCAGTGGCATGCGTGGGGAGCGGCATGGCAGCGTGGGGTGTGCAAACAGCGAGCAGGAGGGGAGGGGCGTGGGGCAGCAGGAGGACAGCTAGGTGGGCAGCAGGGGGGCAGCTAGGTGGGTACGAAGTCATCCACGTCAGCACCCTCAGTGTGCACCACGGCTGCCAGCCTGCCCCCCAGCACGGCGAGCAGTAGCACCACGGCAGCCAGCAGCAGCATCTGCAGCACCCCCTCCACTGCCCTCTCCAATGCTGTCACCGCCGCCACCACCCATGCCCTCACTCCCCTCTCCCCCACCACTTCACCTCCGCCCTCCTCTGCGTCCTCCCCCTCACCCCCATCCGTGTTGCTGTCTCCAGCAGTGGTCTCGCGGCTCAAGCCCCCATCACAGCTCTCTCCCTTGCCCATTTGTCGCTCGGCCTGTCTGCTGTGAGCACTGCTCATCCTCCCCCCACCGCCACTCACACTCGCACACACAGCACGCGCCTCACCACCGCTGCACGCCTCGCTGCTGCCTTGCCGCACCGTCGCCCCAAGCCCCACTGCCCCACTCACTGATTCACACTCCTCCCCGTTGCCCTTTCCCTTCCCCCCTGCGCCCTCCCTCCCCTGTGTGCCAGCTCCCAGCGCATTGCCTCTCCCTCCACACTCCTCTCCTCCCTCCACCTCCTCACCACATGCACCTCCCTCCCTGTCCTCGCCCCGCCCCTCCCCCACCTCCTCCACGAACTGCTCTAGCTCTGCCACGGCCTGCTGCTGCTCCCTCTCACTCGCCTCCACCACCCTCACCTCCTGCTGCACCTCCTCCTCCCACGCGCCCTCGCCTGCACCACCAGTGACAGCATCATCAGCATTAGTAGTGGCAGTGGCAGTGGCAGTGGCAGGTGCAGGTTTGATCGCAGCACTCTCTGCCACTTGTTCCCCACTCGCACTAAGTCCAGGCACACCGAACCTGCTTGGAGGCGCCTCACATGTGAGGCTGTGCGCAGCCATTGGGTTGTGGTGCATGCTCCACCGCCCACACTCCATGCCGGCGCTCATGTGGGGGGGAGGAGACCCGCTGTTGCCGCTCGTGCTGCTGGCTGCTGTGGGCGCGGTGAGAGCAGTGCTGCTGCTGCCACCGGCGCCCTGGGGGCCGGTAGGAGTGCGGGTGGCATGGAGGGGCGAGCGCGCGGGGAGCACGTCGACCTCGTCCCCGCTCACGGGCGTGTGCTGCAGACTCCTGGCCAGCGCTGCCAGCGGCACCGGGCACTCCAGGTCCTCCGGTCGGATGGGGGACGCCTGGGGGCGATGGGGGGATGGGGGGATGGGGGGATGGAGGGATGGGGGGATGGGGGGATGGAGGGGAGTTTGAGGAGGCAGAGTGAGGAGGGTGTGGGTCTGAGGCTGGAGAAAAGGATGGGGTTAATTTGCATTGTGGGACGGAGGGATGGGAGGGGCACAAGGCAGGTGGAACCATGGGATCGAATGGGGGAGGAGAGGGAGAGGATGGATGTGGGGTATAGCAGATGAGCAGAACGAATGAGTGAGTAGTTGGAGAACGGAAATGGAGGGGAAGCGAGAAAGAGATGGATTGGCACAAGGAGAGCGAAAAGTGCAAAAAGAGGGATCAACGGAAGGGAAATGTGGGAGAATAGCTCTTTGTGGAAAGGGAGCGATAACTGTAAGGAGGGGGATAGGAGTCAGGTTGGCGATACGTGTAGGAGGAGAGTGAACGATGGGAAGCAGAAGGATAGGTGTAAATGAAAGGGACAGGTTGGGAGGAGGGGGACAGTTGGGAAGGGGGGGCACTTGGGAGGAGAGGGAGAGGTGGGGAGGAGAGGGAGAGGTGGGGAGGAGAGGGAGAGGTGGGGAGGAGAGGGAGAGGTGGGAAGAGAGGGAGAGGTGGGGAGGAGAGGGAGACGTGAGGAGGAGAGGGAGAGGTGGGGAGGAGAGGGAGAGGTGGGAGGAGAGGGAGAGGTGGGGAGGAGAGGGAGAGGTGGGGAGGAGAGGGAGAGGTGGGGAGGAGAGGGAGAGGTGGGAGGAGAGGGAGAGGTGGGGAGGAGAGGGAGAGGTGGGAGGAGAGGGAGAGGTGGGACCCGGTGTGCTCACATATCGGTGTTTGCTGGTGGTCTCCCCTGCCCTGCTCGCCCGCACACTGCCACACAGCGACTGCAACGCACCCACATGCTGCACCTCCCCTCCGCCCCGCGCTGACGTGGCACTGCCTCTGCCTGATGCCACACTGTCCCGCGCTGACGTCACACCACTCCCCCCGTCCGTAAAGAGCGCCATGGGCGGGGGCGGCTTACCCTGCAGCGTCCAGCGGCCAATGCTGCCCGGCGGGGACAGGCAGCTCGCGCCAAACCCACTCACCTCCTCCCGCCCCTCTCCTTGCCCCTCCCCCTGCCCGTCCTCACTCTCTCCCTCATCCCCTCTGTGCACCCGCCCCAGCCCGGCGCCTCTCTCCTGCTGCCCCTGCAACTGCTGCTCCATGGGCTGGGAGGGCGGGGCGAGCTGCATGCTGGCGGGGAGGGAGGGAGGCGGGGCGAAGAGTACGGGTGTGGAGGGCTGGGCGTGGGAGGGCGGGGGCGGCTCAGACGTGCGGTGCAGTGGTGGTGGCGCAGAGCCCATGGGGAGCGTGGCGCGGTGGGCGTTGCTGGCGCTGCTGCTGTGGCTGCCGTCCTTACTGCTGCCCGTGGGGTTGCTGCTGAAGGGCAGGGCAGCACAAGATGAAGGGGGGCAGGGCAACGCATGGAGGGATAGGCAGATAAAGAGGGGTGCACGGCGTGCGGGGAGAAAAAGGGGACTTGGAAAGCGAAGGTAGGCATGAGTGCATGGGAGGTGTGCGCCTCAGCGCAGCAGAGAGGGCGTGGGTGGCGCACATGAGGGCGGAGAGGGCGTGAGTGGCGCACCTGAGGGCGGAGAGGGCGTGGGTGGCGCACCTGAGGGCGGAGAGGGCGTGGGTGGCGCACCTGAGGGCGGAGAGCGCGTGAGTGGCACGCATGCTGGCGAGAGCCGAGGAGACTTCAGCGTCGGAGATGAGGCGGCAGAAGCCCGACGACCCCTCCCACTCGCTGCTGCCCTCACCACTGCCCCCGCCTGACCCTCTGCTGCCAGGCGAGCTGCCCGCTGCTGCTGACGCCTGCGCCGACTCACTTTTGTCCCCGGCACTCCCAAGGGTCCCCGCCCCCTCTCCCCCCGTGGCCAAGTGTGCTAGCAGCACCGCTCCACTGCCCCCTCCACCTCCCCCCTCCCCGGCCGCCTTGCAGTCCGCTGACGGCTGTGCAGCCCCCGCCCCGTGCTCCACGTCCCCACTCAGCCGCACAAACACCCCACTGCTGCTGCCCATGCCCACACCGCCACCCGCCCCTGCTCTGCTGCCCCCGCCACCACTGTTACCGCCCTGTGCACTGGCGGACGAGCCTGCATGGGGTGACAGGTGCAACAGGAAGCCCTCCTGCCCTGATCCCTCCCCCACACCCCCTGCCGTGCCCGCCTGCATGCTGCCTGCTGGCTGCGAGTGCAAGAGCGGCGAGGAGAAGGGCGAGGCCAGGTGGTGCGAGCGGCCCAGGGAGTCACGTGCGTGGGGTGAGTGAGGGGCCATGGCGGAGTCTGTGGTGAGGAGGCAGGAGGGCAGCAATGCGGGGAGCGGGGAGAGGCGACCAAGGTGGGGCATGGATGGAGGTGGGTGAGGGAGCAGAGAGGGGATGGAGGGGCGAGTGAGACAATCTGGCACGCACGCGCAAACAAAGAATGGCCACACATATGAATGAAAGCACGAGTGGGGCACACCTGAGAGAGTGATGCGCATGGGGCACACCTGAGGGCACGGGTCTTTTGGTGTAGAGGTTCAAAAATAAGGTCGAACTTTTGGTGGTAACCAGCTTCGCGGATTTCGTTTAGAGCTGTTGACGACGATCGTGTGTTCAAGCCCAAAGTTGAAGAAAACAGCAGGACACTGAACTTGGGTCGACCTAGCATTCACTAAGCCTCGAGCACGTTTCTGCAAACGTGTGTTCTTCTGCCCACGGACGAAGAAGCTGCGAGCTTCGCGACGGTAACGAACCACGTCGTGACAGGTTACACAAATTTGATTTGTTTACGGAATTTACTGTATAGACCGGGTAACCTACGAAAGTTGGGCGCGACTCGGATTTTGCTGTACGTATTCGAACTTTGAAAGTCGAGCATTTCTTGTGCCATGTGCTCCACGTCAAAGGTGAACACGCGACTCGACAGTAAAATGATGGGTGTTCATCTGCCAAAATTCGACTAAAAAACGTGAACTTTGGCCTAAAATCCAAAAGACACGCGCCCTGAGAGAGTGATGCGCATGGGGCACACCTGAGAGAGTGATGCGCATGGGGGCACACCTGAGAGAGTGATGCGCATGGGGCACACCTGAGAGAGTGATGCGCATGGGGGCACACCTGAGAGAGTGATGCGCATGGGGCACACCTGAGAGAGTGATGCGCATTGGGCACACCTGAGAGAGTGATGCGCATGGGGCACACCTGAGAGAGTGATGCGCATTGGGCACACCTGAGAGAGTGATGCGCATGGGGCACACCTGAGAGAGTGATGCGCATGGGGCACACCTGAGAGAGTGATGCGCATGGGGCACACCTGAGAGAGTGATGCGCATGGGGCACACCTGAGAGAGTGATGCGCATGGGGCACACCTGAGAGAGTGATGCGCATGGGGGCACACCTGAGAGAGTGATGCGCATGGGGCACACCTGAGAGAGTGATGCGTATGGGGCACACCTGAGAGAGTGATGCGCATGGGGGCACACCTGAGAGAGTGATGCGCATGGGGGCACACCTGAGAGAGTGATGCGCATGGGGCACACCTGAGAGAGTGATGCGCATGGGGCACACCTGAGAGAGTGATGCGCATGGGGCACACCTGAGAGAGTGATGCGCATGGGGCACACCTGAGAGAGTGATGCGCATGGGGCACACCTGAGAGAGTGATGCGCATGGGGCACACCTGAGAGAGTGATGCGCATGGGGCACACCTGAGAGAGTGATGCGCATGGGGCACACCTGAGAGAGTGATGCGCATGGGGCACACCTGAGAGAGTGATGCGCATGGGGGCACACCTGAGAGAGTGATGCGCATGGGGGCACACCTGAGAGAGTGATGCGCATGGGGGCACACCTGAGAGAGTGATGCGCATGGGGGCACACCTGAGAGAGTGATGCGCATGGGGCACACCTGAGAGAGTGATGCGCATGGGGGCACACCTGAGAGAGTGATGCGCATGGGGCACACCTGAGAGAGTGATGCGCATGGGGGCACACCTGAGAGAGTGATGCGCATGGGGGCACACCTGAGAGAGTGATGCGCATGGGGGCACACCTGAGAGAGTGATGCGCATGGGGGCACACCTGAGAGAGTGATGCACTAAGGGGCACACCTGAGAGAGTGATGCGCATGGGGGCACACCTGAGAGAGTGATGCGCATGGGGCACACCTGAGAGAGTGATGCGCATGGGGGCACACCTGAGAGAGTGATGCGCATGGGGGCACACCTGAGAGAGTGATGCGCATGGGGCACACCTGAGAGAGTGATGCGCATGGGGGCACACCTGAGAGAGTGATGCGCATGGGGCTCCCTCTGCCGCCCCCCTCACCAGCACCACCGCCCAGCGCCCCCCCCGCCATCCTGCTGCCCCCCAGGCGGTACGCCCCCAGCAGGTCCGGGCTGCCGGAGGTGAGGCTAAAGGTGCCGAGCCTGCCAGAGAGGTCCGGCGACTTGCGGGCGCGCACGAAGGCAGCAGCGAGCTCGTAGAGGGGCGAGTTGGCGCGGCTGTGCGGCGACCTGGCCTTGCCTCCTCGCCCCGCCTCACGCCCCTCGCCACTCGTGCTGGGCGACAGGCTGCTCCTCGCGTTGCCCCTGCTGCTCTCACTTGTGGGGCTCCACTCCCGCCCACCAATGCCACCACCGTTGCCAGCGCCGTTGGCAGCAGCAGCCCGCCCCATGGCCTTGTGCCCGCTGGCCCCAGCAAAAACATTCTCCTGCTCTCCATGCCCACCCGCCCTGCCTCCTCTCCCCCCTGCGCCCCCCCATGCTGCTGCCTGCTCACTCAACGCATGCGGCACCGGATTCGACTCAAACGACTTGGCAGTGGAGTGAAAGGGCAGCAAGTGAGGCGAGAAGGCGCTGTGCGGCATATCCCGTGGCCCCACGTCGTCGTGGAACACCCGCCGCCGCACCGACCGCATGTCCTCTGGACTCTCACCACTCCCACCATGGCCTGGGGACACAAACGCTTTGCCTTGGGTGGAACCGGCTCCGAGGTAGAGGGAGGGCGAGGGGCCGAGGTGTGAGAGGGAGGCGGGCGAGCGCGCGGAGTAGGGCGCGGAGGGGGGCGGCGTGGCGGAGAGGGCGCTGCCGTGCACCGCCGTGGTGGTGAAGGTGGCGGTGCCCCGCGCCTGGAAGGCTGTGAACTGCCCTGGCGGACTCTGGAACGCCCAACTCCCCTCTGACGCCGCTGCTCCCTGCGCCCCCCCTGCTTCCGCTTCTGCTGCCGCTGCTGCTGCGTGTGTGGAGGAGTGCAGCGAGGAGGCGTGGTGGGGCAGGGCGGGCAGGGGGGTGAAGTAGAGCGTGGGGTCGCGTGGAGGAGGCTCCGATGGCTGTGAGGCTGCTCGTGCAGCAGCGAGCGCAGGCACGGCAGGGGCGAGGGCGAGGGGCGCGGTGCGGGCAGCGGAGGAGGATGCAGCTGAGTGCGTGGGCGACGTGGGGCCCTCTCCCTCGCCCTCGCCCTCTGCCCGCCTCTCCTGCGTCCACCCGTGCTGTCGCCCCTCACCCACCTTGCTCTCGTCGCTCTCACCACCCATCCACGCTGGGCTCCTGCTGCTGCTGCTGCCCGCACCAGGCGTGGCGTGGCGAGGCCCGTCGGCGGGGTGGGCGTGTGGCGTGCGCGTGGCAGCGTCGGGGCGCCAGCGCGCTGCTGCCTTGGTGGCGGAGGACGTGGCGCCTGGCCTGGGGATGTGCTTCTGATGGGTGCAGGGGGCGTGTGGGGCCGGGGTGGGCGATAAGAGAAAGGATGGGATCAACGGGCGGAGAGTAATGAGGAGACAGCGTGAGCAACCGCCTCGCCCTGTGCGCCTGTCTTGTGCTCGCACACATGCCCAGCAGGCAGGCAGCCCCATGCAAGCAGGCAGGCAGCCCCATGCAAGCAGGCAGTGCAAGCGGCGACGCCTAATCGCTTTGAATGAAAGCATGGCGCAGGCGGCCACATGTGTTGGCAGCGCAGGGGCGCACCTTCTTGTCCTGGATGGCCTTGCCAGCGGCGAGCGCGTCGGGCTTGAGCTTGGGGTGGTTTGCGGCCTCCCGCAGCAGCGCCACCACGTCCCTCAGCTCCGCCTGAAACACTGCTGCGCTGCAGCTGCTGGCGGCACGGGGGGGCATCAGGAGGCCAGTGCACGAGGGCTTGGAAATTAGAGACCAAGAGGACAAAGGAGCTTCCGTGGATAAATGCAGGCAGATCGAAGTAATGGAGGCGAAGAGCAGAGTTGCACAGTGTGGCTGCCCGGGTGATGCTGTGGCGTTGCAAGGGCGCCACAAGACGAGCACAGGCGGACACTCTAATGAACCGCGTGAGTGCAGGGCGCGTGGGGCAGGCTTCGCTGTAGTCGTCCGGTTTAAACCCCGTGCGGGCTGCTCGGCACACAGGGCTTCTGACGGAGACAGGCACACACTTTCCCCTCCTGCACATGTCCTCCCGCAATTTCTCCCCCCGGCGCTTCCACCCCCCCCCCCCCCCCCCCCCCCCCCCCTCCTCTCTCGCCCCCCACCTGCGCATGGCGTCCTTGAGCAGGCGCACGGCGTACAGGCGGTGCTCCACGGACGCCGCCCCCCGCAGCACCTCCTTGCCCGCCCGCAGCAGCGTCTTGGCGTGGAACTGGCACCGAGGGAAGGGGTGCGGACAAAAGGAGGGATGCACGGGAAGTGAGAGGCACGCACAGTGCAGCTGGAGTGCGGACACAAGTGGAGAGGACACAAGTGGAGAGGATACAAGTGGAGAGGATACAAGTGGAGAGGACACAAGTGGAGAGGACACAAGTGGAGAGGACACAAGTGGAGAGGACACAAGTGGAGAGGACACAAGTGGAGAGGACACAAGTGGAGAGGACACAAGTGGAGAGGACACAAGTGGAGAGGACACAAGTGGAGAGGACACAAGTGGAGAGGACACAAGTGGAGAGGACACAAGTGGAGAGGACACAAGTGGAGAGGACACAAGTGGAGAGGACACAAGTGGAGAGGACACAAGTGGAGAGGACACAAGTGGAGAGGACACAAGTGGAGAGGACACAAGTGGAGAGGACACAAGTGGAGAGGACACAAGTGGAGAGGACACAAGTGGAGAGGACACAAGTGGAGAGGACACAAGTGGAGAGGACACAAGTGGAGAGGACACAAGTGGAGAGGACACAAGTGGAGAGGACACAAGTGGAGAGGACACAAGTGGAGAGGACACAAGTGGAGAGGACACAAGTGGAGAGGACACAAGTGGAGAGGACACAAGTGGAGAGGACACAAGTGGAGAGGACACAAGTGGAGAGGACACAAGTGGAGAGGACACAAGTGGAGAGGACACAAGTGGAGAGGACACAAGTGGAGAGGACACAAGTGGAGAGGACACAAGTGGAGAGGACACAAGTGGAGAGGACACAAGTGGAGAGGACACAAGTGGAGAGGGCACAAGTGGAGAGGACACAAGTGGAGAGGACACAAGTGGAGAGGACACAAGTGGAGAGGACACAAGTGGAGAGGACACAAGTGGAGAGGACACAAGTGGAGAGGACACAAGTGGAGAGGACACAAGTGGAGAGGACACAAGTGGAGAGGACACAAGTGGAGAGGACACAAGTGGAGAGGACACAAGTGGAGAGGACACAAGTGGAGAGGACACAAGTGGAGAGGACACAAGTGGAGAGGGCACAAGTGGAGAGGACACAAGTGGAGAGGGCACAAGTGGAGAGGACACAAGTGGAGAGGACACAAGTGGAGAGGACACAAGTGGAGAGGACACAAGTGGAGAGGACACAAGTGGAGAGGACACAAGTGGAGAGGACACAAGTGGAGAGGACACAAGTGGAGAGGACACAAGTGGAGAGGACACAAGTGGAGAGGACACAAGTGGAGAGGACACAAGTGGAGAGGACACAAGTGGAGAGGACACAAGTGGAGAGGGCGCTGGCACGGACTTCGAGGAACTGAGACACGCAGCTTGGGGCGTACACTGCAAGGCAGTCCACTGCTACCAGACACAGGCACAATGAAAAGCAGCAAGCGCATGGCGCATGGCGAGGCAGCAACCTTGGCGAGCGAGGCGTCGAGGTTGCAGAGGTCGCATGCCAGCTGCAGCAGCGCGAGCGGGCGGTGCACGCCGCCCAGCGCTGCTGTCAGCGCCTTGAACGCCCCCTCCTGTGATTCCTTGGGCACCTGCTGGCCATGCACCATGTACGCACACACACACGTGCACACGCACACACACACACACACACACACACACACACACACACACACACATCCGCAAACAAACAAACACACACACACACACACACACACACACACACACGCGCACACACTCACAAAAGGCTGATTGTATGTGCACGCGAAGAGAACAGTGAGAATAGATTCAGTCAACTCCCGTGAGATGAGTGCAGAGCAGGGTGAAGGAAGGCGGATGACAGCAGGCAGAGAGGGACGCTGTGTTGGATTCCGCTTTTCACACATCTAGCGCAATGCACAGCCTCAATCAGTCCGCCCTCCCACACTCGCCTGCTTCCACTTGCCCGCCTGCACCAGCGCCAGCAGGCACCTGGCCGCGCCCGCCAGCGCGTCATGCTCCGCGCCCCCTGCTGCCACCGCCCCGCTCCCTCCGCCCCCGCCTGCCCCCGGTGCGTGGTGGTGCTGCACGTGGCGGTGGTGCTGCTCTGCCAGCTCCGCGGCGAGCGGGTCGCAGATGGCCGCCAGCACTGCGCGCACACGCACGGCCACAGCCACGGCGGTTCAGAGGAGAACACGAATGTATCAAGGAAAGGCACAGCCACTCGTATCATGGAACAAATCGGAACAGAAGAGCGTGGCAGTGGGATGAGAGAGCATGGGGAATGGGTGGGAACCTGCACGACCCCGCACGTGCACTGCCTCGCCAGCGGGAAGCGCACCTATCTGAGTCTCCGCCGCGGCTGCGGAGTCGGCAGCGGGGTCGTGGGGGGGCGCGACGCAGTGCGTGGCCATCTCCACCACCACGTCCGCGCACGCCGCGTGCAGCGACGCCGCGCTCCTGCCGCCGCCACCGCCCGGCGTGCCTCCTGCCGCTGCCGCCGCTCCACCGCTGCTCGCCATGCTGCTGCCGTTGGCGGCGGCGGCGCCCGCGGCGAGGGCGCGCACGAGCGCCGTCATGACCTTGGGCACGTGCAGCGCCATCTGCTGCCCGTACGTGCGCGCACACTCCGCGAACAGCGACACTGCCACCACGCAAGCAACGCGCAAGGAACGAGCACCTCTTGTGGATTCTGTTTCTGAAGTGTCGCATGCTGTACCTTTCTCGCCATGCTCAGCCGGCAATGAATGATCTACCTCTCTTGCTACAGTGAGCCATCAGTGGTGAACGCAAACCCATCAGTCGTTCGGACTGTGCTGTGATCCATTCGCTCGCGCAGCAAGCTGCAACGACGCGACACGGCCGTACGTGATGCATGTTTCGCCCTTCTCACCAGCATATCGCTTGCTGCTGGTGTGGCGCACAGTCGTCTCCGCCACGTGGTGCAGCAGCCGCGGCATCACCTCCGGGGCCACGTCTTTGACCGTTCGCCTGCCGTCAACGGAAAGGGATCTTGGTGAACGATGATGCAATGGAATCGCGAGCACAAGAGGAAGCTGACAGTAGTTCACAAAATGTATAAATCTGTAGTTTCTGGGTGAACATGTGTGCACTACTAGATCGCGGTTAACAACCCACGGAGAGTCCATCGGCGCAACCGACGTCACGGCAAGCACATCCAGAAGTCAACTCTAAGACAACTATTCAACGGCATGGTAGTGGCATTAGCGGCACGGCAGTACCTGAGAGCGGCCAAGGAGCCTCTCCTGGTGTGCGGGTCCTCGAGCGCCTCGAGCGACTCGCGAAACACGGGACTCGACCATCCCGACATCCCGCTCCTCCGCCTCCTCCGGTTCCAACAACAAGCCTAACCAGCGCAATGCAGACCTATCCCGTCATCGGAGATGCCAAAAAAGAACCAGCACATGCCCAGCATATTGACGCGTCTGGCCTAGAGTGAATTGTTGTGGCAAACAATCACTTGAGCATCAGCTGTGATAGGCACCTTGGAAAGCGCGTGCGAGGGGAAGGGGGAGAGATGATGGGGGAGAAGCTGAAACAATCGAGGGCCGCGTGACGACCAATTGCAGTCCAGCAAGATCGCTGAAAGGTGCATCCTCGGTGTTTACATGGTTCATGGCAAAATGGATCTGCCCTGATTGGAGAATGGATTTTGGCGCGAAATGAAGCGGAAATAAGTTGGGCCAACATCATAGACATGCAAATTAGTCTGGTAACCCTATCCGATGGTATGCAAAACCGTCGATACCCTAGTTCTGCTGCGGAAGTTTGTCTGGTAGCGCCACTTAAAACTCTGTGTAGCTGACGCAGCACAAAAATGGAAGAAATATGAGATATAATCGGTTGCGTTTTCAATTTCTTATCTTCGTGGTTCTGACCACGCCCCGTTTGGCGCCTAACAAATATTCCTCCGGGCTACTATTTTCCGCTAAATGTGCACGATACATTTACGAAAATTCAATTGGAATGAAATTATACGGGGTCCATTTTGTAACAATATATTGCACCCAATATATTGCTACTTAGAAGTGTTAGGGCAGGGCTGAAAAACAATAAAACCCTCAGGTACCTGGACGCATTTCCGGGAGGGATCAACCCTAAACATAGGAAATGGCATTGCTTTTAGGGTTGATGCCTCCCTGACGCATCCCGTTCCGATTGGGTTTTATTTTTTTCTTGGCCCGAAGAAATCACGTCTTAGTGCGAAGGCAAGCGCGGTAGGGATCAGTGTTTGAAATTAAAACAAACGCGTTATTAGGGCAGCATGTCAATAACTCTAAAACTGAGGTAAGACGGTTTTGCATACCATTGGATAGGGTTACCATACTAATTTGCATGTCTATGATGTTGGCCCAAATAAGTTCATCACCAGCAGTGGACCGAGTTACCATCAGGGTTTACCGCTGTTATGAGTTACTCGGAATAACGAATAACGAGGCTGTGACTCAATGAACTGCAGATACAATGAAGGCAACGTGATATGATAGTGGCTAGCCTAGCTAGGAGGGAACCTCGGGGGTGCGAGGTTGGGTGCAGGTTTGGCGAGTGGAAAACCGAAGGCGACGAGGGTCAGCCTCGGAATCGTAGATGTCGACCGAACGTGCGAAGTTTGAAATGGTGGGGGTTGTACGTGTAGCAGCAAACCCAGGGCTGGCGTTCCAGATTTAGGCACCCTGATGTCTACAAAAAAAATGTTTTTTCAATTATGAAGGTACATTTTCCAGGAAAGTGGTGTTAAAATTCTAAGTGGGACTTAGCGAAGGATCGCTCAGGGTTGATCGCAGGGTAGTGCTTGTCAAAGTATATGCATGATATATATGTGTAGGCTGTAGTGGGGGTAGCCAATATGGAGTACAGCCCCGTTTAGGGTTTCATACTTGTACCCAACTCTTTCATAGTGCATTCATTCCTGCTGCTAGATTCTAACATGGTTTCAGAGCACTAGGTCCGTAGGACCGTTTTCTTTCGGGCCCACCTACCGTTGCGGTTACCGCGCTACCCCACGTACTGTCCTGCGCCTGCCTGCCTGCCTGCCTTGCCTTGTGACGTGCTGCACTGCGCGCGCCGTCCTGCAGCCCTCGCGCTGCCTACTGCTGCCCTAGGCCAGCGCGCCGCCCCTGCAGGCCCGTAAGGCCCGCGCGCCGCCCCTACAGGCCCGTCAGGCCCGCGAGCCGCCCCTGCAGGTCCGTCAGGCCCGCGAGCTGCCCCTCCAGGCCTGTCAGGCTTACGAGCTGCCCCTGCAGGCCCGTCAGGCCCGCGAGCCGCCCCTGCAGGCCCGTCAGGCCTACGAGCCGCCCCTGCAGGTCCATCAGGCCCGCGAGCCGCCCCTGCAGGTGCGTCAGGCCTGCGAGCCGCCCCTGCAGTCCGTCAGGCCCGCGAGCCGCCCCTGCAGGCCCGCCAGGCCAGAGCGCCGCCCCGCCTCGCGGCCACGACCTACCACTGACGCGGCCCCACCTGGCCCCGCCCTGCAGCAGCCCGCGCGCGGCTCGTTGCTGCTCCGCGCACCGCGTCCGCCGCCCGCGCTGCGTGCTGCAGCCCAGCGCGTCGCGCTGCAGCCCCGCATGTCGCGCTGCAGCCCAGCGCGTCGCGCTGCAGCCCCGCGCGTAGCGTCCGCTGCCCGCGCGTCGCGCTGCAGCCCCGCATACCGCGGCTGCCGTCCTCGCGCAGCCCGCGGCGGCTTCGCGCGCCGCGCCCGCAGCTCGCGTTGCGCGCTGCAGCCCCGCGCGCCGCGGCTGCCCCTGTTCGTCGCGGCGCCCCCCCCCCCCCCCCCCCCCCCCCCCCCCCCCCCTGGACGTCGCCCCGGCCTGTCGCGACGCCCCTCCTCTGGACGCCGCCCCTGCCTGACTGCCGCTGTCGCTCCTGCAGCAGCTGCCGCGGAGCGCCTTACCACAGTCGCAGCCCCGCCCTGCAGCAGCTGCCGCGGAGCCTTCTGCCGCCGTCACGGCCCCGCCCTGCAGCACCTGCCGCGGAGCCTCCTGCAGCTGTCACGGCCCTGCCCTGCAGCAGCTGTCGCGGACCTGCCCTACCGCCGACGCGGCCCTGCTCTGCCGCAGCTGTCGCGGCCCCGCCGTCGCCGCCGTCGTGCGCCTACCCGGCCGCCGCCCGCCGAGCGCCGGCCCTGACCGCCACTGGTAAGCACCTGCCTTGTTCGCGCACTGTCGCGCCACCTGCCTGCCTGCCTGCCTGCGTGCCTGCCACGCCTGCCTGCCTGCCACGCCTGCCCTGCCCGCGCTGCTACTGCTGCTACTGCTGCTCCTTCTGTTACTACTGCTAGGCTGCTGCTGCTGCTGCTGCTGCTACTACTGCTACTGCTGCTACTGGCGGTGGCCAGATGCAGCTCCAGCGACGTTCTCGCGAGTCTCTCACGACCCAGCAGCTTAGTGAGTGGTACGCTAGTTGGGGTTGTCGCGGTAGCCGTCGTACCTGTCGCCCTGGAGCTGGTCAGTTGGGAGCGTCTGGCAGTGGCCAGCTGCAGCTGCAGCGGTGTCCACGCAAGACACTTACGTCCCAGCAGCTTCACGAGTGGTACGCTCAGAGTAGAGGGTCGAGGAGTACCGTTCGCTGCCTGTACGTCATTCGCACAGGTGATCGGGTTGGTCAGGCTTGCGGGACGCTTGGTCACACACAGTCCCGCTGCTTCGCCCGTCTGAGCGACGCCTGGCGTACCGAGTTTGGCGACGAGGCTGAGCTCCCCACCTGGATGGAGCTGCTTGGACAGAGGGTAGATATCTTTGCTCTTGATTATGATGCTATTCTCACTGCCATGTATGCATTGCCTACTAGTGCTGACCGTACCTATTACCTGTGCGTACCGCCTGACCCAGGTATAGAGCCTGCTTCTCTAGGTGCTGGTGAGGCTGCTGCTCTAGGTGCTAGTGCGACTCCTACTCTAGGTGCTGGTGAGGCTGCTGCTCCAGGTGCTGGTGAGTCTGCTCTCTCTGGTACTGCGCCTGCTGAGGCCTTGTACACCTTCACACTTGACTCAGGTGCTTCCCGCTCCTTCTTTCGCGACAGCACCACCCTCACGCCGCTCAGTCGGCCGGTTCCAGTCTCCCTGGCAGACCCCTCTGGGGGTCCAGTCCTTGCGCACTCCTCCACGGTCCTGCCATGTCCAGCGGTCCCGTCTGGCTCCCTGTCAGGTCTTCACCTCCCCTCATTCTCTACGAACTTGGTGGCGGGTTCTGCGCTCCAGGACGCGGGTGTTCACCAGTTCACCCCGGCCTATGAGCGTGTCACACACTGCACGTGTGCTCAGACGGGTCGTCACCTGGCTACCTTCACTCGGCAGCCGGGGTCGAACCTGTACACACTGACCACTGAGTCCCCTCAGGTAGCTGCGTCTGCGTCTGCGTCAGGTCAGCTAGCGGCCCCCTGCTCGTGTCGCGCTTTGTCGCACCAGACCCTCCCTTGGCACCACCGCCTTGGTCACCCCTCGGTGCAGCGCTTTCGTAGAATGCACAGCCGTGTCCTTGTCTCTGGTCTTCCCAGGGTTCTCCCTCCCCTCCCACCCTCGCCTGCTCCTCCCTGTCTTCCCTGTGTCGAGGGGCGGCAGCGCGCCGCTCCTCACTCCTCCTCGTTCCCTCCCACAGAGGCTCCCCTGCAGACTCTCCACCTGGACGTGTTGGGCCCAGCCCGCGTCCGTGGACAGGGCCACGAGCGGTACTTCCTGCTGGTTGTCGACGACTACACGCGTTACACCACGGTCTTCACCTTGCAGCGCAAGGGGGAGGTCCCTGATGTTTTGATCCCTTGAATCCGCGCTGTTCGTCTCCAGCTCCGCGAGCGGTTCGGGACGGCCTTTCCTGTCCTGCGTCTGCACTCTGACAGAGGTGGTGAGTTCTCCTCAGACCTCTTGGCAGCCTTCTGTGCGGAGCACGGCATCCGCCAGACGTTCACGCTTCCGGCCTCTCCGCAGCAGAATGGGGTTGCTGAGCGCCGCATTGGCTTAGTCATGGAAGTCGCTCGTACCTCCATGATCCATGCGGCTGCCCCCCATTTTCTGTGGCCGTTTGCGGTCCGCTACGCCGCGCATCAGCTCAACCTCTGGCCCCGTGTCTCCTTGCCGGAGACCTCGCCCACACTGCTGTGGACGGGGAAGGTTGGCGATGCGTCGCGTTTCCGGGTCTGGGGTGCTCGTGCCTTTGTCCGCGATACCACCGCGGACATGCTCTCCGCCCGCGCTGTTCCCTGTGTCTTCCTTGGCTTTGTCCCAGACGCGCCTGGTTGGCAGTTTTACCACCCCACCTCGCGCCGTGTCTTCCCCTCTCAGGACGTCACGTTCGACGAGTCGGTTCCCTTTTACCGTCTCTT